AAAAGGACGGGGGGGGGTCAGAAGGGGGTGCGGTATAAAGAAGGGGCCGGGGGGTACCAGGTTCAGGACTAGGGTGCCAGGGTTTTGGGTTTCTTTTTTTTTGTTTTAAGAAAAAAAAAAAAAGAAAAAATAAAATAAAAAAAAAGAAAAAAAAGGGGGGACCGGGGAGGGATAGTTCCTAGGAGGAATGAAAGGGCCAGAAATCTCCCTCCGCGCCCAAGAGGACTAGACACCACTTGTAGCGCAGATGCAGCATGAACCGTGCCATACCCTACCCTTCATGCCAGTAAACCAGCAATCTGGGATAGCAACCTCACATCTGCCGAGCTACCTCGGTGGACAAAAGAGAGGGCGGCCGGATATCCGCCACAAAGCATACCTCCTTCAGCCACCACCCCCGGAATCCGAAAGGTGGCTTCCAGAGATACACCCGTCGCCCAAAAGACACCCAAAGCTACTCCGGGATACCAGAGAGGGATCGGGACATCCCTAGGCAATCCAGATTCCACGGCAAACTACGCCACCGCCAAGAAACCTCAACGGAATGGGATGGACCCCGGTGTCCTTTCCCCTACCTAGGAACTAGCGCGCCTGTGGGAGAAATCCCAAAGGACAAAAAGAGGAAGGGCAAAAGGGAGGAGGAGGAAAGGAAAAAGGGGAGGATGGGGAAGATGGGATAGGGGAGGGGAGATTGGGGGGTAATTAGGTTCGGTCTGAGGAAGAAGACCGATAGGTCTAATTCCTCAGACCAAGAGCCTCTTCACCACGCCAAGGAGCCCCCCTTGAAGAGGATTTCCAAGCAAAATGTTCCTTCAAAAAGGACCTGCATATAAATGCCCGACTCTTAGATTTTTATCTATTTACACGTAATTCTTGGAAGAGAAGCCCATGTGGGTACTGCAAGGCAAACTACGGGATTTCCACGACATTTTGGATTGATTGGGACCTTCAAACCTCCGTAACGATAGAAAGGACATACGAGCAACTCTTAACATCTGTGTACGCACTGTATGCAAACTGATGCTCCTCGACAACAGGAAACAACGTTGATTACACTTAACTTAATTCTGGGAACTGGAGCACAATCCAATTCCCTAAATCAAGAGCCCGCCACCAACATCAAGGAACCTTCCCTGAGGAGTTGTTACAATAGTTATGATGGTTTTGAAGAGACCAGAGCATACCACGTCTATACTTGCAAGATTTATTTGTTAAAACTTGCATTTATGGTCAACCCCATGCTAAACCTTTGGTGTACATAAATACACTTATTTGATAAATTTAATTAGCCTAGTGGTTAGCACAATAGGTAGAGTTCTGAGATAGTACTACCATGGGTTTAAGACTCGCCCAGTTTGGTTTACCTTGAAGACAGATTATCTTCCCTCAAACTGTTTACTAGAGTAGCTCTTTACCGAGTTAATCTAGGTATATTTTTGGGGACGAGGTGAACCAGTATAAAGGCAGAGCATGGGTTCTAGTATTTCGGAAAAAAAGGAACTATCTTTAAAGTACTATATCACATTTTCAAAGTTAAAGTACATTCACAAATTAATTTCGTGTAGGTCTGACCTGCCAGTTCATAGACTGTTTTCATAAAAATTAGCTACTTTACTGAAGGACATTTAAAAAAAAACTAGAGTTCATACATATTTATTAAAAATAATTTATCAGATTGCCACAAAAAGTTTAAGCGAAACTTTTCAATTTCTACAGCAACAAGTCAGGAGATACGCCCTTCAGGTGGACTTTGAATCTCTCAAGACCACGACTTGTTGACACTACTACGAATGTTTGTCTCTCCACTTCCATAATAAGCACAGAGTAGGGATCCTTTACACGAATTTTGTAGAGTAGGATGAAGCCCTAGAAGTGAAAATTGTGTAAGGGAAACCTAGAGGTTTACAGCTAGTACATATTATATGGGTCTTGCATAATTTTAATGCATATCTCTCCCTCCCCAAAAGTTGAAAATAGCTAAAAATTTACATTAAACTGTAAATAAGAGGAAACTTCGCTTTAGAAAAAAAACTAAAAAATTCAAAAAGTTAAAATTGGCATATTTTGGTACAATTTTTTTTTTTTTTTTTTTTTTTACTTTGGTCAAAATAGTCTTAAATACTAAAATTATAATACCGCATTTTATCCGCTTACCTCACGATGAAGATATTCATAAACATATAGACTGTCTTCATAATTAGACAATAGTAGTAGATAAAGCGTGTCGTCTACATGCAACACAGCCTGATCTACCACACCATATGCAGCAAGTGACTGGTATGCTTCAAAATTCCTGGTGTTCATGTTATACCGGAACACCTGCAGAACAAATAATGCCTGTAATTACCAGTGCTAAAGTTTGAAAATTTATTGCCGACGGTATTCTTACGATTATGAATCTCTTATTCAATTTTTTCTGCTCTGCCCTCTAGGGCATTAAAATAAGTTTATCAAGTTTCAAATTTACTTACACTACATTTAAGAATGTACTTACTAGAACTTTTGTAGTGTATTTCAGGCAGTCTCTGAACGCTGGAGAATCTGCCAGCTTAAGCTGTGCCAGAGTAAATAAGGTTTCTTCAAGAGGCGAGACTGTCTGCAGGAAGCTGACAGACGATGTGTGATCCGCCACGTACTCTGCCACCATGGTGAACTAGCCAAGAAAATTAGATATGTATATTTACACTTTATTGTTGCTTAAAGATAAATTAATGAAGCGCAGCTGATAATTACCATTTGAGTGGAGTGGCTCCAAGTGAAGAGTTGTGAGGTGGTAGTGTAAGGAGCAATGGTGTCGTCAGGATCGTAAGTATTTGCAACAAACAGGAACCAGGTGTTGTCAGTCTGCAAGAAGCAACTATTACAATCTAATACACAAATTTAGAATGAAGATGCTGGGCAACCGACTGATCACTTTTGAAAACGGCACGATTTTCCAAAACAATGTTTTGCAATTAAGAGCTCTTGTAAAACCAATGTATGGGGGGGGGGGGTTAACAACCCATGGTAAGAGTAACTACGAGACTAGAGCATCAAGCACTTTAGTGTACCATGGAAGGTCACATGACATTTCCGGAGAAAGCGCTGATCTACAAGACAGTTACTGTCAGCAATTTGGTCCTATAAGGTTCATTTAAGCCTTTCTACTGCTAGGGAATTTAACACTTGAAGACTTTACGTGTCAAAAGTCCTATTTACAAAATTTTCAGTGCCACAAGCATAGTAAAATTGTAGACTTAATTCGTCATAGGGAAAGAGCAAACTAGTCATTCAGTGCGTGGGGGAACTAGCGTGACTCCTGGGTGGCCCAGCGTGACCCCTGGGTGGCGCAAAACCTAGGGATCAAGAACTTTCATATATTTATAAAATGGCAGGCAATAAGCAACATTTTGGTAGCCTTTTACAGTACGAGAAAAAAAATGTAGATATTTTTCTTGAAACAAAAAAAACTTCCAAATTTAAGCGCAAAGTCTTTTTAAATGTACTAAGATAAAAATTTACACTTGTAAACAGTGAAGAGATCAGTGTCAAATACGTGCACTTCAAATTTCTTCCTACCAGAGCAACACAGCAGACTGTATATCAGTAATACAAGGTAAGCAGAGTACACCGTGTTATGGTCCCTATGAAAGCTGCAGGCTGATGAACCTACATAAACATAAGCAAAGACCTGTTCTGGGACTGGTCTTGGTCCCATCCAGGCAAGATCATACCTCTAATAGGACAAACTTGTCCCAATCCATTGAAGTATATTTGCTCTTTGTGAAATCTCGCATATTGCAAGTGTTCTTTGTGTACTCCAATGCTTAATATAGGTATACAATTTTCTTGGTTATTTTGATGAACAATGTTCATTAAGAACTGCCTTTAGCATTCTATGGAGTGATCATGGCCTCGCGAGCCATACCAGTCACTAAAAATATATCCCCACTCCACAAAGGTGGCAGTAAAATCCAAAGAATTACAAAGATAGCACTAAAGTTCCACCAGCATCAAAATCTTTAAAAGTTCTTAGAAACAAGATAGCAATGCCCTTGGATACCCATCAGTTACACAACTCTGGGCAGGACGGGTTTAAAGCAGGTTTCTCCTGCATGTCCCAGTTACTGGACCACTATTACATAGTTTGATGCGATGGAGGAGAAAAACCGGATTTACTATAGACAAAATAATCGCACTTGTCGAAAGTTATGTAATATGAGTAATAAAACAGGAAAAATTGGTAGATGGATCTAACTTCCCAACAAATATAACAGTAATAGTAAACTAAAGTCAGAGGCCGCTACAGTAACAAAGCTGTTCAAGGCACAATACTCTCCCATCCTGTTTCTCAGAAAAGCCAAAGCACCGCGTCTTCCTTCCTTCTATGACTACTATGAAGTTTGTTCCACTCATCCACAACTATTACCAAACCAGTTCTTTCCTGTATCCTTCCTTGAATCTGAATTTTTTCCAGCTATCAACCATTCCTGCGAGTCCTGTATGCTAGATATTTTTAGCACGCTGTTTACATACCTTTATAAATTCGCGTTTTCCATTTATATACCTCAATCATATCCCTTCCCCTAATAAAACGCCTTTGTGAGACCCTTTGCTGTCTTCAAGGCGCTGGACAGGCACCTGAATTCAGTACCTGCTAGCTGGGCTGTGGTTCATGTGTGTGCGCGCAGCCAGCAGTAGCAGCCTGGTTGATCAGGGCTTGATCCACCGCGAGGCCTGGTCACAGACCTGGACGTGGGAGCGTTGACCCCTGTAACCCATTCTAGGTATACAGCATGTTATATTAGCTAATTTAAAATGCAGATTGAAGATAGGAATAACTAGTCAAACCTCAAGGGTGAACAGGTTTAAAAATTAAATTACTTACAAAAGCCAAGTCAATGTCGACAGCTTCCTTGGCAGATTTTATGCTCCATGTTTGTGTAATTTTCTCACCACCTTCATCGAGCTTCAGCACAATTGTCAAAGAGTTTTGGGTGCGATCCATTCCTGTAAATATGGGAATAATTAAAGAATATTTACTAGTTAATTTTAGTTCATTTTAGGTTACTTAGGGAGTTCTTACCTTCAAGAACATGCAGCATGACGACCAAGTAGTTAATCCCACTAGAGACAAACAGGCCAGTGTCTGACACCATGCCTTCAGTTTCATACGAAGCAATGGGTGGGCTGTTTGCATAATACATATCCACTTTTGTTTTTGGTATGCCAGTTTCACATCTATGAAGTGAAAAGCCATATTAGGGACGTATCTCGGAGGGGCACCACTGGAAAAGTAGTTAATTTTCATTTGTGGCTATTATAGTTAAAATTTGTTTATAGGAAAAAGATAAGATACTTACTGTGAATAAATAGCCACGAAGTGCTCGTCATTCAAGGGGTAATTTATAATATCGATTCTTAGTCCAACTTGAGCGACTGCTTCCAGTCTTGTGTCTGGCATCACCTGTGGAAATGCATCATTGCTTTGGTATTAAGTTAAATGTTATATTTACAATTTATATAGAAAATGGGGGTCATTAATTTGAAATTCAATAAATGTCTAAACCATTAATGTGCTATGTCTAATTTAGAAAACTTTTAGCATCTTTAACCTCGACTTCTCCTTCGCTCCTAGAAACTTCAATCTTCTGTGCAGGGAAGACTGGATATTTGCTACATTATGCCTAACACTAAGATACAACAAATTTCCATACATAGAGAAAGCCCGAAACTGGGACAAACAGGGTGGGCAGCAACCCGAGTATCTCTGGGTTGTCATGAAACTTTTAAACCATGCAAGTGCAGAGGAGGGAAGTGGTAGGTATTATAAAGAGTCTTCCCAGTGGAACAGAAGGGTTAGTGCATCGGAAAACTTTATGGATGAGCAGAGCAGAAGCACGAAAATAAATGGGAGACTCCCTATTGACTAAGAACGCCACTACCCATTCTCTAGTTCCCGCAGCAACACGAGCAGTGCCTGCAGACTTGGGGAAACCACCTTGCCCTACCCAGTATAGTCCAGGAACGCTCACCCAGAACAGAGCAAGGTTAGATAAAAGTGCCTATTTAGACTAAGCACAGGAGGTACTAGCAGCATTTGTTAATAGATTGGTACTGTTAGCTAGTTAATGGAGCACTTGCCTCGTGTCTAGTAGAGGGGGTCATCAGCAACAACCAATTGCCACAAAATATGGCCCTTGGCATTATTTCCTCCACTAGAAACACCTAATGTGCCGTGATGTGGTATACAAACCATTATTCGTTTGGGTAGTGGAACCATTTCCAAAACTGATGGCAGCACAAGGCGTAGCAGGAGTATGTTGAGAAAAGGGAAAAGGAAGAATCATCCTTCCCACTGAAGGTCAAATAAAGGGATGGGAGAATGGGTCGATTGCTACTTTAAGAACTCGACGTTAAGTTAACCCTAGTACCGGCAGGAAACGCACTGTTATATTCCAGAAGTGAAAGGAGTGAGCATCGAACATAGAAAGGTTCAAACCTGGAGTTCTCAGCCTCTTAGACCACAGCACTAGCAGTTTTGTACTGAAAACTGTAGTCATTCAAGGCCGGTGTCTTACTGTACATCCAGAGACAACTTACCAGAGGCTTAACACGAGGCAAGGAATGAATCCTGCGAAGCGGTACCCTTGCAACAGGATTTAGTAAGCACAACGGGGAATCTGATGTGGAGCATGTGCCATCAAGCAGCTCTCTCTTCGCAAGGACAACGGGAAGTGTGTCTGGGGATCAAAGAATCCACATACTTTTAGATTACTCTTGTCCATTGACTAACAGCCCAAAATTAACTTGCTGCTCAAAGGGAAGGGTCACACGAGCAGCACATGACCTAGGACAATCTGCTAAAGAAAAAGAGTACTCAGTCTAACAGTGAAGTACGCTAGAAACAGCAGTTCGGCGATTTTGTCCTACATTGTTACAGACTGCCCCCCCCCCCCCAATGAGCAGATTGCAATGCAATTGTTAACATACAAGGAAGCCTCTACTCTTAAATAGAGCCCACGGCTGTAATGAAGCTAATAATCTCTAAAAATTCTGCTCTAAAGGACCACTTCTCCCTGTGGGAGGCGGCCGGGAGGATGGGGGATTGAAGAGACAGGAGCCAATGATCACATCGTCTGTTAGCCCAGGTAGAGGAATCTGAGCAGACATCTACCAAATCTCAGTTTGCTGAGAACGCCATTTTGTCAGCCACTAATTCTGAAAGTCTGGCGACACCAGGACGTAGTAAGCCACACCAAGGATCAATTGTTGAACGGAATTTGCGGAACTAAACTACATTGAAGACTCAAATACGAAACCAAAACAGTTTAATTTAGCATACACTGATGTCACACTGGATGGTTTTAAAATTATGCATGGCTACAGTTTACGAAAATCATTGCTTTCTAAGTAAATTCCTTTCATTATGCGAAGCATTGGACAGTTTACTCAACTTTAAGATCCACTAAGTCATAGCGGGGCTGTTTTCATGATAAACCAAGCCACGGACTGCCCAGCACTGAATTATATTGAATTCCTAAGGCCTTAGAGAAGTGCTGTAACTTTTCAGAGACCATCCTCCCAGAGTCCGCGAGGGGATAATACCAACATCGCATACACCAATTTCTTGATTCCAGTTGACAGATTTGCCAGAATCCTCCACAATGGGTGAAGCTATAGTCTCTTGAAACCCTTTATTTTGGCCTAAACCGGAGTTACAGAAGCTTGTCTATGGTGATCTCCAGTCAATGCCTCTAGAACAGTAGGTAGTTTCTGGCAAGGCAGCAACAATGCTTCATCACCGAGGGGTCGGCTAGTCTGGTAATCCGAGGAAAAGTATATATAGCAAACTTGCCGAAATGCTTTGGACCGGAAGTGTTTCGGATTTTGTGACATTTTTAAATTTGCATCGATAAAATTGTCCGGGGATAGGATCCAAAAAAAAAAAAAAAAAAAAAAAAAAAGTTACGAAAACCAAATGCAGGTCCAGACTAAGGTAGAGTATCGGCAACTACCTTTGTTAACCATAATTTCTATGCTGCTTCGTGATCAACAGATCACACCTAAGATTTAGTTATTTAATGTCGTGCCTTTCCTTAAATTGTTGTAATCAACGTAGTGAATACTCAGTATTCGCTTCAAGATAGAGGTTATTGCTTTCTTGAGGCTCGGCACTCTGTAAAACACCATATGCTCACTCCCACGGTGATTAAGTCACTCCAATACACTGTCTAGGTCATTTTTTTACCGCATGCATTTTTTTTTTCATTCACTTTGTTCATCACTCGTCAGGATAACTGAAGAAAGTCAGCGAGTCTTGGAGGGACTTGTCAACACTAATCTTCCTGTACTGTATTATAATCAAAAGAAAAGCTGTCCAACAAAAACTATCAAAGCTGCAGAAATACAGGAAGTCACTAGGACAGTGACAGCGAAATAGCATTATGAGGGCCAGCAAGAGCCACCAAACTGGTCCGGCTGCCCGCCACCAAACTTTGTTCAGAGAGGTTATCAATTCTGCACTTCGCTATGTGGTGGGGGGCACCGCTACCACAAATTATAAGTCTACCCGTAGAGGGTTTCAGGGGTTGCGCCCCCGCGGCCCAGCGAGACTAGGCCTCGTGGTGGATCAGGGTCTGATCAACCAGGCTGTTACTGCTTGCCTCGCGCAAACATACGAACCACAGCCCGGCTGGTCAGGTACTGACTTAAGGTGCATGTCCAGTGCCTTCTTGGAGAGTCAGGGGTCTATTGGTAATTCCCCTTATGTACACTGGGAGGCAGTTGAACAGTTTTGGGGCCCCTGACATTCTTCTCTTAGTGTACTCGTGGCGCCTCTGCTTGTCGTTGGGTGAATATTGCATCCGCTGCCGAGTCTTTCATAGGGAGTGATTTTCGTGTGCAAGTTTGGTATTAATTCCTTAGATTTTCCATGTACGTATGTATTTTTCTCGCCAGAGTTCCAGGGAATAAAAAAATCAAACGACTTAAACTGTTCCCAGTAATTTAGGAGTTTTATAATAGTGTGCAGTGAAAGTTTTGTACATTCTCCAGGTCAGCAATTATGCCTGCATTGAAGGGGGAAGTTAGAGTACAGCAGTATTCCAGCCTAGAAAGAACGACCGCTATGAGAGAATCATGGCTTGGCCTCCAAAGTTTTGAAGGTTCTCATTATGCATCCTATCATTTCTCCAGCAGACGAAGTAAATACATTGTTGTGGTCTATGAAGGAGAGATCCTCTGACATTATCACTTTCGCTCTTTTGTATGGTTAGAATTTGTCGTATACATACACTGAGTTTTATTGTCAAATTTCCATATCTGAGTGGTTGAAATTTCTCATCACTGAACTTAGTATTGTTTAAAGTGGCTCATTTGGGCTGGAGTTTTGAGATTCATCTAGGAGTCTTGCGGTATTCGATGGAGGTCACTCACGGCAATTAGCATGTTATCTGCAAAGGAACACACCGAGTTATGGCATACATCTCTATGCAAGACCTGAGGATGGGAGAGTACCGTGTCTTGTGGAACAGCTTTTCACTGTAGCCACCTTAGTGGCTAGGAAGTTATTGATCTATTTTCCAGCTTTAATTTATTCCTTTATCGCGTATTTTGTGCGTTATTACACTGGTTACTTGTCGCATAAGGTATACTACATCTGCATTTTGCTTACCCTCTATAGGATCCAGGACCTTCTCAGTGGTCCAGTAGCCGTGTCAGACAGGAGCAACCTGCTCTAAACCCGTGTTGCCCTGGGTTGTGTAACTGATGGGTCGCTAGGTAGGTGATCTTGGAACTCGAAGATTTTTATGATATTGGATGTTAGTGCTGTCTAGTCTTTGCAATTGCTTTACTGCCACCTTTGTAGTGTGGGGGAAGGGTATGTCTTGTTCTTAGTGTGTGGGATGACCCGTGTCCATGCTCCCTCTCCATAGAATGCTGAAGACGCGTGACGGGGGGGGGGGGGGAGGGGGCTTTTCAGTTCTGGATGAACATTGTTCCACGAATCTAGGCCTGGGGCATAGTGCACGGGCATGTCATTTATTGCCTTTCTAAAGTCTTATGGTGTTAAGATAACATCAGATTTTTGAGTACTCAATTTTGGGAGTGCCAAAGACTCCATTTACATTGTCAACCCTTAGTCTGGTTTTTGGCACGCTGAAAATCGAGTCGTATTGGGACTTTAGTATCTCATTTCTTTAGTGTCATTTGTGTAGAGAAAGTATTAGTTCCGAAAAATGCAGAGTACCTGCTGACTAATACATTACTATCCCATCGTGCCAACCTTCAGACTTGCCACCTCAACTTGCCCATCAACAAAACCACCAATTTAAAATGAAAGTGCTCGAGGCACTAACAAGGTTAAACTAGTAATGGGTAAAAGAAACAGGATTAACAGTTGCAAACTATAACCATTCATGGGACATTGTCAACAGGCTGGATAATATCACGTCAGGTAATGGGAACAAGCCCATTATCTGTCTCAGTGCTGGTGGAAATGATATTGGGAAGGGTAGGAGAGAAGAGCTGCTAGATAAGTACAGGTCAGCTATAGATTTCATTAAGTCTAAGGGAGGGATCCCAATCATATGTAGCATCTTGCCTAGAAGGGGAGTAGGAAATGAATGGTTGTCTAGGGCAATTGGTGTAAATTGCTGGCTAGACAGATACTGCAAGGAACTTGCAATCCCATTCATTGACAACTGGAACAACTTTTATGGCAAACATGATATGTATGCAAGGGATGGGGTACATCTCTCTGGGGCTGGGGTGGTAGCACTTGCAGACTATTGAGAAGGCCATTGGTGAAATGCCTATGATTTTAAACTGATGGAAGATAGAGGTATGGGTGTGTGTGGGGAAACAAGCAGGTTGCAACACTTGGGTTGGAAACAGTAAATGTATAAAAGGCATTCAGCATGAAGTTAATAAATAAAGACAATAGATCAGGTCAGCAAACAAAGGGGACAGCAGAGGGCAGCAAGGGACTAGCTCCCTTAAGGTTTACTATACTAATAGCAGGAGTGTAAGAAATAAGATAGATGAGCCAAGATTAATTGCAAGTGCAGGAAACATAGATATTATTGCTATAACAAAAACCTGGCTTAATCTGAAAGATAGAGAGATGCCCTCTGAATGTCACATACAAGGCTATAAATTATTCCACACTGACAGGGTCCAACAGGAAAGGTGGTGGAGTAGCGATGTATGTCAGAGACAATTAAATTGTTGTGTTAGACAAGATATTAAATTAGAAGCGTCAGCCACTGAATCTGTTTGGTTACAGCTTCTCGAGGGCCGAGAAAAACTAATTTTGGGTGTGATTTACAGGGCCCCAAATCTTGATAGGAGTGCATAAACTTCTATGGGACGAAATTCGTAAGGCATCTACATACGAAAATGTTGTGCTAATGGGAGATTTCAACTATAGACAGATTGACTGGAGCAATTTGACAGGAAATTTAGAGTCAGGTGACTTTCTTGATACGATCCAGGATTGTTTTTAAACAGTTTGTGACAGAGCCAACTAGGGGAAATAACCTCCTTGACTTGGTTCTTGCCAGTAGGGAAACATTAATTAATAATCTTGAGGTTAATGATGAGCTTGGGGAAAGTGATCACAAATCACTCAGTTTTAATATATCATGGAATTCCCCTAATAATGGCAATCAAGTCTCCGTCCCTGACTTTCGCTTGGCTGATTTCATAGGACTGAAAAATTACTTAGGTGGGCTGAACTGGAATGACCTGACTAAGGGTCAGGTAGGTGGTGATGGTTGCCGATATGAGCTTTCCAGGGCATAGTTCTAGCTGCTCAGTCAAATTAAAGTTCCAAATAGGGAAATCAGATCAAACAAAAATGATCCTAAATGGATGAACAATAGATTAAAATATCTGATTGGTCAAAAGAGAGGCATATATAGGCAAATCAAAAGAGGAGAGGGGCAATTGAGAAATCGATATATTCAGTTAAAGAGAGAAATAAAAAAGGGAATTAGAAAAGCAAAGATTATGAGGTTAAAGTTGCAAGAGAATCGAAGACTAACCCAAAAGGATTCTTTCAGGTATACAGAAGTAAGATCAGGGACAAGATAGGCCCACTCAAAAGTTCCTCGGGTCAGCTCACTGACAGTGATAAGGAAATGCGTAGAATTTTTAACACATACTTCCTCTCAGTTTTTACACAGGAGGATACCAGCGATATTCCAGTAATGATAAATTATGTAGAACAGGACGATAATAAACTGTGCACTATTAGGGTCACAAGTGACATGGTCCTTAGGCAAATAGATAAATTAAAAACCTAACAAATCCCCAGGCCCTGATGAACTGTATGCAAGGGTTCTAAAGGAATGTAAAGAGGAGCTTAGCACACCTTTGGCTAATCTTTTCAACATATCACTACAAACGGCATGGTGCCAGATAAGTGGAAAATGGCAAATGTGATACCTATTTTCAAAACAGTGACAGGTCCTTAGCTCGAACTATAGACCATAAGCCTAACCTCCATATGGGAAAATTTATGGAATCAATAATGCCGAGGCAGTTCGTAGCCACCTAGAAAAGCATAAATTAATCAACGAATCTCAGCATGGTTTTACAAAGGGGCGTTCCTGCCTTACGAATTTATTAAACTTTTTTCACTAAGGTATTTGAGGAGGTAGATCATGGTAATGAATATGATATTGTGTATATGGACTTCAGTAAGGCTTTTGACAGGGTCCCACATCAGAGACTATTGACGAAAATTAAAGCACATGGAATAGGAGAAATTTTTTCCTGGATAGAGGCATGGTTGACAAATAGGCAGCAGAGAGTTTGCATAAATGGGGAGAAATCAGAGTGGGGAAGCGTCACGAGCGGTGTTCCACAGGGGTCAGTGTTGGGCCCCCTGCTGTTCACAATCTACATAAACGACATAGATGAGGGCATAAAGAGCGACATCGGCAAGTTTGCCGATGACACCAAAATAGGCCGTCGAATTCATTCTGACGAGGACATTCGAGCACTCCAGGAAGATTTGAATAGACTGATGCAGTGGTCGGAGAAGTGGCAGATGCAGTTTAATATAGACAAATGCAAAGTTCTAAATGTTGGACAGGACAATAACCATGCCACATATAAACTAAATAATGTAGATCTTAATGTTACGGATTGCGAAAAAGATTTAGGAGTTCTGGTTAGCAGTAATCTGAAACCAAGACAACAGTGCATAAGTGTTCGCAATAAAGCTAATAGAATCCTTGGCTTCATATCAAGAAGCATAAATAATAGGAGTCCTCAGGTTGTTCTTCAACTCTATACATCCTTGGTTAGGCCTCATTTAGATTATGCTGCACAGTTTTGGTCACCGTATTACAGAATGGATATAAATTCTCTGGAAAATGTACAAAGGAGGATGACAAAGTTGATCCCATGTATCAGAAACCTTCCCTATGAGGATAGACTAAGGGCCCTGAAACTGCACTCTCTAGAAAGACGTAGAATTAGGGGGATATGATTGAGGTGTATAAATGGAAGACAGGAATAAATAAAGGGGATGTAAATAGTGTGCTGAAAATATCTAGCCTAGACAGGACTCGCAGCAATGGTTTTTAAGTTGGAAAAATTCAGATTCAGGAAGGATATAGGAAAGTACTGGTTTGGTAATAGAGTTGTGGATGAGTGGAACAAACTCCCAAATACCGTTATAGAGGCCAGAACGTTGTGTAGCTTTAAAAATAGGTTGGATAAATACACGAGTAGATGTGGGTGGGTGTGAGTTAGACCTGATAGCTTGTGCTACCAGGTCGGTTGCCGTGTTCCTCCCTTAAGTCAATGTGACCTGACCTGACTAGGTTGGGTGCATTGGCTTAAGCCGGTAGGAGACTTGGACCTGCCTTGCATGGGCCAGTAGGCCTTCTGCAGTGTTCCTTCGTTCTTATGTTCTTATGTTCTTATATGTCATAGTGTTTGCTTACGTGTCTTTCTAAACCAATTTGTCGGTATTTATTACCAAGGTTTATACCACAAAGTAATATTTCCCGCAGTAGACAGCCACCAGGTGATGCAAGTTTTGGCGGTACAAAACCATTCCCTTCAATACTAATTGGTAAGAATAAGGCTAGTAGCATACTGCTTCAATAAAACTTTGAACAGTTAAACTAGTTAATGTCCCTGCTACACAGGCCTAAGATAAGAGACAGCTGTATTCTTCGGCTGAGCGTCTTAAACCTCTGAACAGAGGGGGATAGGTTGATTAGTGCATACTTTTATCTTTAGAGATGTAATACATCTCTACCAGCAGAACAGGAGCTTATTTTATATGCACAGAGCAGCCTTTGGTCAAGTCACCACAGGAACCATGAAGGTTTATCCCAGCCGGCTCCATTTGGGAAGGGTTAATTCCCCGCTACGAAGTAATTACCTCAAGAAAAGGAGGCAAAGTCCAAGACATTTTAAGACTTGGAAATTTAAATTTCGCCTAAGTAGTACCGCAAACAATTTTCTACAGACCTTGTAGTAGTGACATTGTGTAGAGCAGCCACATGGAGGATCTGGGCAACTAATTATCTTCAGGTACTGACCCTCTGCTCCAGGAATCCTACCAGTCCAAAGTCTGCCATATACATTAGTGTCTCTGGGTAGATCTATCTTCTCCAGGTACGAGAGTTCAGAGTACAGTCCTGAGAAAATTTGTATTTAACAATTTGCTTTCCTGAACACTACCATGGTTCGTAGCTTCATACGAAGAACCATGAATTTAAGCTAGATTTACTAGTATCAAAACTTTCTAAATTTTTACTTGGAAACTGGTATATCGTATTTCAGTCAACTTAAGTTTTTATGAGAAACTATGCCAATCAAATTTAATCTCACCTTTGGCAGTTTCGTAGTTTTCTTCATGAAGTGAACCAAACTGATTCAGGATACTGTCAATTCTATGATAATGTTCAGTGATTCTCGTTCTCAGAGTAGACAGATTGCGGCTTAGCTCTGAGAGGTCTAAATCGTTGACAGTGTTCTTGACAAACGCCTTCACTGAGCATGTTACTTTTTTCTCAAAAACCTGGAAAAAAAGTTTTTAGTAGCGGATGAACGATGCGACAGTCGAGGAGGCAATGTGATTCCTCAATTAAAATACAGAAATGTTTAACCTCTTCTAATATCAAGCGATATTTTAATCAATTTCAAAAACGTTAATGAGCATTCATGAATAATGTTCAGAGTTAGGAAGTATAATAGTTACCACAGGAGTATTTATGGTGACACTGCGGTCTAGTCTCACTAGTGTATTATTCAGCTTCCAGAGGTCTAAACCATTTAGTGTAGAGGCGAAGATGTCCCCGGTAACAACGAGACCACCATTCAATATCTTTGTGCCTGATATTACCTGCTGTGAGCTGCTGTACCTCAATACCAGGTCAGATATCGACACATTATTTATCATTTCTACCTGTAGATCACCTGTGGGTTTCAACGACTTTATAAATGTTATTTCTTAGTTAATAAAATTCAAATTATAAACAGAGCACAAAGTTCACAGTTGTCACTTTACACTTGCCTTCCACTCTCATTGCCTCAAATGTATAGGACCCAAACAGAGTTTGTGTGGTATTAAACACAGCTCTGGTAGAGAAGAAGTCTTCCAAATCTATGCCATCAACCAGCCCAGACACCTGAAAATGTTAAATTAATGCTCAAAAACGAGATTCAAGAATTCAGCATTTTTTTTAATCATCCATTCTAATTTCTAGCAGAAAATTTTAATCTACTTGCAAAGTGAAGCTTATATTGCACAATAAACTAACCAGAACATTGCCAAAAACTATGATTGGAGCAGTAAAGATGAAATCAACAGCCAAGGACACTTCCCTGGCTGGTACCACCAGGTTCTGTACAGCGACACTGCCAACATACTCTGCAGGTTTAAAGTTCAGCTTAAATTTATTAGTACCGATAAAGGCAAGAGACCGTCAGTACCTAAAGTATTCTCTAAAGAAAACAAATCGCAACTTACTGGCTTACAATACCGTCAACGGGAATTTGGTATTCCTGAAGAGAAGTGGTTGCCGGAATTACTCTCCCCTCCCCCCTTTGTTATATATTTTTATTTAAAAGAACACATTACAAGACGAATAAAATACAATAATGAACAGTTTGCAGATACAAGGAACTACCAGCCACCCCATAACATACGCTAAGTGTTAGTCATGTGTATTAAAGGATATACCGTCACCTAACAATGAAAACAGGATAACACCTCAGAAAAAAAACAACTAAAGTCTAAACCTACACCTTACGCCTGTTATACAGTACACTAAGACCTCCTTGCGCGAAATGCAACAGATATAATTCAGCATACGAAGGATTAAATTATACATTATAAATGTTAAACAAAAGACAAACCTAAACCTACAATAAAATTGCAAAAACATACCACAATAATACTTGCCGCAATAAGCAGGAAACTCTTAACATGAAAATAAAAGTTTAAATTTAACTTTACACTACCACAAAACTCGCCAATTTCTAGTGAAATTACAACTAGAAGGGGACCAATGAACATTCACAACGCATTCATACCCAGCTCGAACACATTTTCACAGATTACAATACACATACCCAAGCCTAGTGTGTATTCCACTATAAACCATCACGCAACACATCCACGCCGGTCAACCATACACACGTAAGTGATTAAATATGTATTATACCTGTATACATAGATTACAGAAACCTTATAACAAACTTTAGCCTGTAATCCCAAGACCTCATTTTATTATAACATCAACGTCTTTCCAACAATTGTTGATCGTGATGCCTTTTGACTAAATTACACAATTTTTAACTATTTACAAACTAATCCAGACAGCAAGATAATGTACACATACGAATCATTCACGATCACCTGTTAAATGTTACATAAATTACATTACCTGTAACAATCTCACTTCAAAATCCGTACATAACAATCATTAATATCTTATTATCGATGCAATATCATAAAACCAAGATCACATCAATGATCTGCCAATAAAAATTATAGACTAACGCCATGGTTTACTTAAACCCAAATAACATCAGGACCCAACTTATTTCCAACCCAGCATCACGTGTACAAGTATCATTCTTACATAAAGTACACTGATACATTAGTGATTTATCATATGGGGGTAATCATACATTTCATGAAACCTGCTCGCTTGGCATACACTATAATCTTCCAATTAATTAATTACATGTGAAAACCCTATTTCAGTCTTTTTTATACTCCATCAACCTACCATATCCACTTCTACCCAGCATCCAGACAATTCCTCACCATACCAAGTCCAACAGTCATACCCTCCCAAACGCCAAAAAGACCAGCCACGTCTACCCCTTACTGTATTAAAGCCCATAAATCCCTTAAATGAAATCTGCAATATCCCTCCGAAAAAGTCAAAAGCCATTTGCTTCCAGCAATATTCTTATTCCGCTGCTGTGTACCATAGAAAATCGCTGCCAACGCCCTGATCCTCTCTTACTGGTAAGCGTCTATAAACCCATGAAATATATACAAAATCCGTAACTAAATATCCCATTGCGTTCTGCACCAGCAACCCCTACTTTCTCCCCCCCCCTCACATCTAAACTTAACGCTTTTAAAACACTAATTCCCCCACCAATGTAAAACCCTGCTAAACCACACCCTCACCGATTCCAATCTCAAAAATACACTGCATGATACGCAGTCTCGATCTCCCATCCCCCTTGCACATGCCTATTCGCTAACACTTCCCCGCACGGCAATACATTATGAAGAAATTTGTACATTACCTCCCGTACCCCGACCCTCAATCGTAACTTCGTCAGACGTTCCCCAAAAAATCGTGCCATGCATACATCGGAAATATGCCCTCTACTCTAACCACCCCCTCCCTACCTCCCACCAATGCCAATTTTCCAATCTTGATCCTACAAGGCATCCTTGCAGAAGTTAATACCCTCAACATGTTCTCGCATCTTTCAAGATCCCGCCACTCACCCAACGTACCAAATCCCTTCGAATCCCCGTCAAACCTGTACCTGCCCCCCCGACCCTCCCTCAAATAACTATTGTTTTACATACATACATGCCTAACATTTGCATATGCAGGTTCATTAACCCCAGTCCACCCCGACGAGTCGGCAAATACACATCTCTCGCTAACCAGTCATATCCAGAACCCCAGAGATATCGAAATACACGCTTCAATAACCTTTTTTCATCGCACTGGACTAACGGATACATGCTTACCACAACTTACCAAACAAAAGCACATTCGCCACGATTGCACGCTGATGTAAAGATAAGCTCCCTGCACGCAGTCCCGCCAATCGTCCTAAAACCCTATCCACAGCCTCTCTAAAATTAACCTACCTCGTTTCCTTAATATTCCTCATATGGACGATCCCACATACCTTAATTTTTGTTTAACTAAAGACCAACCTTCCTCCTGACCTAAGTCCCCCCGATATAATCCCCCACACGCATAAGCAGGACTTTCCTTATTAACCGTCATCCCCGTTGCTCTCCCGAAAAGATCCACCAATTCACCCACTTTTCGTAAATCCTGTGATCCCCTGTATAAAATCGTAGTGTCGTCTACATATCCTACGATTCCTGCGTTTACCCCCCCCCCCTCGCCTCTCACTCATTTACACTCCCCCATGCAGCCCTGAAAAAAGGGTCCTGAATTAATGCAAACAGAATCTGCGACACAGGACACCCCTGTCTCAAACCCCTTTGCATTCCAACTAATTTCCCCAACCTGCCATTTACCTGTACCTTAAACATAGCTTGCTCATACAAAGCCATTGCCCAGCTTACTATTTCTTTCCCAAATCCTTTCCACTGCATAATTTTCCACAAAGCCTCACGCTCCACACAATCGTATGCCTCGTGCCAGTCCAGAGCCAATATTCCCCCTGCCTTTCCCTTCCCACTTCCCTCAATAAGCCCATGTATCATGCCTTGACCCACACGTTGATCTCCCGGGTACCCCATATTGCCCTTCATCCAATACCTTCTCTAACACCCTCTTAATCCTATTACCTAGCACTTTTGCAAAAATTTTATAATCGCCACACAATGATATCGACCTATAGTTATGTATACAGTTTCCCCGACGCCTTTTTCGGAATCAACCACAACACCTGTTTTTTGTTGTACCCCGAGTCGTCCACTATGTTTCATAGCATTAAATAAAACAACTAAAAATTCACGGAGACATTCCCAGTTTTCCTTATAGAAATCACATGGGATACCATCGATCCCCGGTGATTTCCCAGCATTCATACTCTCAACAGCTATTCTAACCTCCTCACTTATAGGTCAGTTCAAATTCATTCGATCCTTCATCTCAAGATCACAACATTCCCATTCACCCATGTCTATTACTTTTGAAATTCCCACTTTTTTGTATTGCGCTTCATACCATGCATCTACATAGCATCCCATGCCCTCAGTGGACGTAATGAGTTGTCCCCTACGATATGTTCCCAATTGCTCCTGAACTTCCAATTCTATTATTTCTGTCTCCCTTCGACGCTTGCCCTGCTCCCTTAAAACAAACGACGAAGGATGATCACCCCATAATATTTCATTTATACCACTCGCTATCCGGACCGCATCAAAGTTATGATTGTGGATATCCCCAATTAGTTTTTTTTAAACTTTCAATTTCAGCCACCGGATACACCCCCCTGCCATTCACATAACATTCCTGCAGTTGTCCTTCCAGATAGTGCAAAACCCCATATTGCATTCTCCGTTCTTCTACACCACTCTTCTGATAAAAATCCCTCGCCTTCCTTTTTCAGATTGTGTCCCACCATTCAATAACGTCATCCCCTACCCGACATTCATTCCACCAATCCTTCCGCACTCGCAAATGACTCCCTTAAACCTTTTTTATGCATTAACCCAACATTCAATTTCCAGGAACCTCCAACGCCTTGGTAATCCCACCCAATACACATCCGCCATAACTCCTCTATGATCAGAGTAACTCACATTTAAAGCGAACATATATTCGATCCAATCTCGCTGCATGCTCCTTCCTAATAAACGTGTGCAGTCCCCCCCTACCTCATCCCCTCCCCCCACATCCATAACATTCACACTGTAAATCCCCTGAAAAAAATACCCCGTCCTCTAGGCTCTACATCTTTGAGACGATCAATGCAATTCCAGTCTCCCCAATAATCGTTACGCCTGGCAACGACCTTAAATGGTACACCAAAACGTCCCTAGAAAAAACATTTTTAATACGCATATCACTTTCTGCTGGCCCGTATATAATGGGTTTGTATGGTAGTGCTGCAAGCGGGTAGTAAATGATAAACTCTTCGGAGGCTTCTTTGTTTATTGATAAGTAGTGGTGGGTTACACAGGCTTGTGTGTTGTGCCCATGGCCCGGGAGGGCCATGCCCACGAGAGAGCTGGGAGGCCTTGTGTGTTGATGCCAGGCCGCTGTGTGAGTGAGGGTGAGGCAAGTCTGGGCATACTGAAGTGGGAAGGCCTAGATGGCAGCACCAGCATAGCGCGAAATATGAACTAAGCTGGCAGACAGCATGGGCTGTCTGTACAGGCTGTCTACACGTAAACACCAATGAATCCCACTTGCACCCCACCCCATGCACCAACCACCCTCCCCTCTCCTCTCCAATCTCATTTCTGTAGAGAAAACGGGCCGACATCTTTTATTAACACTGCCACACCTTTCAATCTACTAGAACAACCCATGTACACCACAATAGGGGAATTGATAATTCCTGAAAGCTTTATAATTATGTTCCTGTAAAAACACTACATCAGGAACGTATTTCCTTTATAGCATCTCCAGACATTTGCGCTTATTAATCTACTTTAATCCGTTAATATTTAAAGTAATGCACCTGAAGATTTCATTGGCGGTTTACCCTTAGATATCTTTACATTCTTAACGCCCGTACAGCACTCTCCTTCCCCCACGCCCCCCTATGCAGTCTCCTTTCTCATGCTGAACACTTAGATCCGCCTGTATCTCGACGGGTCTCTCGTTTCCATGTTTTTTTTCAAGATCTTTGGCCGGGAGCTAAAACATCGTCACTATCCGTTATCACCGCAGCCCTCTTGCGGCAACTACGATCAATGATCATATCGTCCTCTGAACTATTATCCCTGTGTACCGCCACAATGACAACCTGCTGTTCCGCAACCGGCCCCCCCGTCACCCCCTCCCCCCTGGTGTTGCATCCTCCATTCCTCCCCGATTTCCCCCTCGTACGCCCAAGCATCTAAAAAAAACAGTCCAAAGCCCTTGGGGGCCCCTTTTTTTAAATTGGGAAGTACAAAATCAATCCCACACCCCCCACCCCAAAACCCCCCCCCCCGCCCCCCCGCCCCCTTTCATCCTTTTTCCCTCCCTCTTTTCCCCCGGGTTCGGGCCCTTCCCCCACCCGGAAACCCTGCCCCCCGCCAACAAATTTCCCCAAGTTTGGAGCCCACCCAAAAATCCCGTTACGCCCCCCTGTCCACCTTTTTCGTCGGGAAGCCCCTTTTGGCCCCCAATAAAGACGGTTTCTGGTTTGGGCCCCCTTTTTTCCCTTTTGGAACCGTTCCCCGTTTTATTGGGGAGGGCATTGGGGTTTTTAATTTGGGTTTTAAAAAAACGGGGGAGGGGGGAAAAGGGGTTTCACTTACGCTTGGGGGCCTTTAAAAAAGGGGGGTTAAATTTTTTATTGGTTGGAAGCCTTAAAAGGGGCCAAAATTTTACGGGGTTTTTTTTTGGGGCATTTTTAAAAGAAAACGACCCTTCTGGCAAAACCAACAAGGGGACCGTCACGCCCCGTCCCAATGTCGCCTATGCACAGACCATACCGGGTTTAAACATTCCGAAAACGCATTCGTCCCCTCAAACGGAACCCTTGCCCCCACTTTTTAAAACCCCGGGGTAATAGCGAGAAAACCGGAAAAAATAACGGGCCCGGGGGGGCTGTTTTCAGCACATCCGGTACTTAAACCCAAACCCCCTTTTTCGTAAGTGGCGCATTGTCTGAACTTGAACAATCTTTTAATTGCCCTTTAAAGCTACTCCATAAAGATCTTTATTAAACAACCCCCTACGTGTCCGAGGATCGCCGTCAACAATAGACGATTTTTTCCCGACTATTTAAAAAGCCAGTCACTAGGTCCAGGGAGACAGTGGGTTTTTGCACCGCGGGTTTTTCCCCCCGCCCCCCGTGAGAGACTGGCCTCCCCTTTTTACTTAAAAAACAAGGAGCCCCCATCCCAAAAGGCCCTTTGGGATTTTTTAGTTCTCGTTTTAAAAAATTTGGGAAAAAAATTCTTTTTTCAAGAGACAAAGTTCCCCCCATGACCAAAGTTTTTGACCTCATTCCCAGGGTCCTGGAATGAATTTCAAACTCAGCTGCAAAGTTGAGAACATTGAAGCAGCAGCGAGTTTTAATTCGACGGGGAGAGCGAAATTTAAGAGTAGCTGCAGATTAGTGTAAAAATTGCGAAATTATTTTTTATCGTTAAATCTACTTTAAATTACCTTTTTAGACTAGTTACAAATTTCCGATGCATCTTACAGCCAGGATAGTACCCATCTTTTGTTGGGGGGGGGGGGGAAGGGGTGCGCGAGTGGTTAAAAATTTAGTAAAATAGTTAAGGCACTTTGAATCAAATTCGTGCCATAACTGCATTATGGCTCATCAGCTTCAAATTTTCACCACTAGTGGGTTTCTAAAGTAATGATTCGGCCGACAACTAATTAATGTTTCTGGTAGACGTCAAAATACTATAGATTCACTTAGCCCGAAGAATAATAAACCTCGTAATTTCAGTGACTGGGACCAGTTACTGGAGAACGACTTACCTGGTTGGATTCAAACTTCCACCATTAGTGGAGATGGGAAGAAATTTATTAAAAAAAAACTAATAGAGAATAGCATTTGATCTGCTTCAAGAAGTATATAGTAGTAGGTTGGTAGACAGCAACCACCCAGGGGGGTACTACCGTACTGCCAAGGGTGTAAAACGAAGGCCTATGACTGTTACAAGATAGGATTGCTGGTGTCTCTTGTCCGTCTCAAATATGCAAGATAACAGGTACGTCTTACTACTTCTACTTACACTTAGGTAACACTACACATACATGTACACGTTTATGTATATACACTCAGTTTTCATTGATTTTATCCTAATAGCTTTTAGTCTTATTACTTTTCCTTTTATATCCATGGGGAAGTGGAATAAGAATCTTTCCTCCGTAAGCCATGCGTGTTTTAAAAGTCAACTAAAATGCCGGGAACAATGGGCTAGTAACCCCTTTTCCTTTAATAATTACTAAAGAATAATTAGAAAATTGTCGAAGTGGGACGTCTGAATGTGCATGGATGTGCGAATAAATGATTGTGGATGTTATGAATGAGAAGCTGGATGTCCTGGCTTTAAGTGAAAAAGCTGAATGGAGTAGGAGAATTTCAGTTGAGAGGAATAAATGGGATTAGGTCAGGGGTTTCAATTAGAGTTGGAGCTAAAGAAGTAGCAATAATGTTGAAGGATAAGTTATGGCAGGAAAAGATGGAATATTAAATGTATTAATTCAAGGATTATGTGGAGTAAAATAAAGGAAGGATGTGAAAAGCGGGTTATAATAAGCTTTTATGCACCTAGAGAAGTGTAGAGGAGAGAGATTTTGGGAATGCGTGGGGAGTTTTGAACAAAGTGTGAGAGTACTTGTGGTTGGGGATTCCAATGCTAAAGTGGGCAAAAATGTTGGAGGGAGTAGGTAAATTTGGGGTGCCAGGCGTAAATGAAAATTGGGAGCCTTTAATTGAGCTATGTGTAGAAAGAGGTTTGGTAATAAGTAATACATACTTTATGAAAAAGAGGATAAATATACAAGGTATGATGTAGCACATAGTGAAAGTAGTCTGTTAGATTATGTATTGTGGATAAAAGGTTAATGGGTAGGCTCCAGGATGTACATGTTTATAGGGACAACTGATATATCG